AGGATTGATGTTCAGCTTGCTCAAACAGCTGAGAGCGTCAAGAGGCAACAAGGGACGCTCCTTGGAAAAACTGATAAAAATCCTAGGGCGGAGCACTGTAATGCAATAGAGCAACCGTTTGCAGAGATTATTCTGGGCGCAGAAGAGAAGACAAAGCAGTCTGCTAGCTTCAGAACGACTGCTCCTGACAAACCTGCTGAGACTCCACCACTTCGAGTCTATGTTCCTAAGGTCCCATATCCTATTCCACCTAGACATATGAGGGATCCCATTAGTGCAGAGGAGCTGGAAGGCTTTAATAAGATGGTGAGGAAGCTTCCTAAAGAACTCTCATTTGAAGATGCTCGTCAAATCCGGCCATTGCATTCGTTCTTCACATACACTAGAGAGACTCAAGAGGAAATTAAAGCCATCTATACCAAAGCAATGACCACGCCATCACTGAAGGTTTTGCCTACGATTGCTGACCCTGGTAAATTTATTTTTCCATGTTCCATTGCTGGAGTAGAATTTAAGGAATCTCTTTGGGACTCTGGGTCTAGTGTGAATCTTGTCTCAAAGGCGATTGTAGATGAGTTGGGCATTGTGGATGTTGAGCCTTCTCAGGTGAATCTGGCTTTTGCTAACTCCTCCAGAGCAGTCCCTTATGGCACCATTCGCAACCTTCCTGTCCAAGTTGGGGATTGTATTTTGCATGTTGAATTTGAAATTGTTGAGATGAGCAAAGATCATGAGATGCCTTTGATTTTTGGAAGATCATTTATGGCCACAGTGGGAGCAATCGTTGACCTGCCTAATAAGAGAGTCTCCTTCTCCAACATCAATAAGAAGACTTTCTATAAGGCTGTCCCAACCAGGTCACAAATCCGATACGCCTCATGCATCTCAGTGGTTTGTGCACAACAGCCAGAAATCGTTCCTAAGGAGCACTGTTTCAGCATAAGAGAACATGTTGAAAAGAGCGAGAGCAAAGAAGTCCTGGATGGAGATCCTCACACTGATACCAAGACACTTCGTGGGAATGCAAGGGTAAAAGAAAAAGTCCAGAAGAAAAGGATCAAGGGTGGTCCTACATTGACTTTGATACCTCGCATGTGTGATGAGAACTCCATTGAATATGAGGTAAAGTGCAAAGGTACCTCTAAGCCATTCTCTAAAGTCAGAGCTATCCTCACACATGAGCTGAAGGAGAAAGGGGAAGCTGCTGTAAAAGGGTTGTTGAGCAGAGTATTGAAGCTGAACATGTCTGATTGTGGAGCTTGTTTTGGAGCAAGCGCTCATGCTCAACCCGGCTGATCCCTGTCACAAAGTCAAGCTAGTGACTTAAACCAAGCGCTTGGTGGGAGGCAACCCATTGGTAAGTGTAAATATCATTAGGATTTTCTTTTTGCTTATTTTTTGTTTTAGTTTGTTGAGTTTCAGGTCAAAAATCAGAAAAACCCGAGATACTTCAAAAATTTCTGGGTTTCAGAACCGGAGCAGCTACCCCTCCGAAAGGAACGGCTGCTCCAGGCGGAGATCAGACGATGGAGAACCCAGAATTTTCGTGGAACGCCCGTTTCACGCAGGTAAGTATCTCAACCAAAAATATTTATATTTATGTTTTTATTTACACCTTCTCTCTGATTTATTTTCACACCGAGACGTTGTGAAGTAAGTCTGGGGGAGGGTCTTTGTCGTTTACT